GGGCTGGGATGCCTTTTGATATCAAGCTCTGTCTTACGCGCAAACGAGAGTCACTGGACTGGTTTCTCTAGTCCACCCAGCCTCACAGAGGGCACCGACTGTGAGGACGGCACAGTGTCAGTGTGTCCTTCTGCCGTGCACAGGCTCGCCGTGAGCCCCAACCGACCCCAGGCCACCTAACAGCAAGAGCAGCTCAGACACACAGAGCTCGGGCGTAGGCCTCCCCTGGAGCTCACCTGGAAGACCCGGCACTTCGCACCCCACGGATACGCCCACGTCCCTTGCACATTCCCTGGTGCCAGCACACCAACAGGTGGAAGGAGTTGCGCATGGATGACAATGCCAGCATCATCATATGCAATCAGGACACTTTCTGAAGGCGTAGACCAGGGCAGGCGCCCTGTCCCAGAATCGCTGCCCTCTCCACGCAGCCGACAGAACACCAACGTTTCCGGAAACAAGGGCAAGACCCGCCAATCACGGTGCCCCGGAGCGTCCCAAAGCGCAGACATGCGATCTCATCGCACACCCCTTGCCTCCCCTGCCTGGCTCACAGCACCGCGCAGCGAGGAGCTGCGGGAGGCACGCCCAGCTCCACGAGCTCACCTTCACGTGGCTGAAGTCCCCGGTCTTGCTGCTCTCAGGCGCGTGCACAGGCTTGCTGTCCGCTCGTGGCCGCACGACCTGCCGGAAAGGACTAGACAGCGGGAAGCCACTGATGCTGATGCCGTCTGGAAGACAAGAGTGGAGATGCTCAGGAGGGGCGGCCCCATCTTGGCCCATCTCGGGCTTCCTTGGATTTTTGTTTCCAGGAGTCCCTCCCGTTCAGTCCTTCCCACGGCCGCAACGCAAACCACAGAGGGCACTTCTCGGCAGATGGTGCATGACAGGCGGACGCGCACGCGCACGCACACAGGACGGGAATCGAGGCGCACCTTGGACAGCGTGCCCAACAGTGATGTGGACAGAGTGGCAGGCAGTGGTCGGGCAACAGGACGAACATGGGCTGTGTCTCCAAGCTGCACCCATGAGGGTCGTCGCCCGGGTGCTCACCACCATTACGTACGCCGAGATTACGTGACATGAAAGGGTCGCAGGCCTACAGGGACAAGATCCCATAGGGACCGTGGGTTTGGCCGCGGTGGTTGAGAGACAGCGCCCACGGTCACAATGAGAGGAGAGGGACTCTGTGAGCTGGGTGGCACTCACGTGACAGCCGGCCCCTCTGCAGAGGGCACCGCCAGGAGAATGGCCAGGCGGGCCAAGGCCTAGGAGGCAACATTAGCAACATGCCCATCTGGTCCAAACCACACGGAGAGGATCCAAAGCTCAACAAGCAGATGACAAACTAACGGACAGAAAGACCGCAGATGACGTGGACCCCTCGCCGGAGGAGACACGGAACGGGCGTACGTGTACCTCAACAGAAGGTCAACCTCACACCTCGCTGCTTGTGGCTGTCGGGAGCCATCAAGCCGGTTCCGACCCGTGCACAGAGAAGGAAACACTGCCAATCCTGCTCCTTCCTCACGGTTGTCCCTCTGCCTGAGCCCACTGTTGCAGCCACCCGTCTTTGGAGAATGATGAATTGAAACAATGATGAGATGACTCGTGATCGCGTTACCCACCACGTCAGGGCAATTCTGACGCATGGCGATCCTGTGGGACAGCGTCGGACGGAGCCCCTGGGGGCATCCTTGTTGTTAGTGGTCATCCTGTCAGTTCCCACTCCTGGTGGTCTTACGCACAATGGAATTGTCCCCATCCTCTGTCATCCTCAAAATTGTTCCTCTGCATGAGCCCACGGTTGCAGCCACTGCATCACCCATCTCCCCGAGGGCCTTCCTCGTTTCCGCTGCCCCTCCACTTGCCAGCTTCCTGTCCTTCCCCAGGGACAGGTCCCTCTCCTGCCAACATGTCCAAAGTGGGTGAGAGCATGTCTGGCCGCCCTTGCCTCTGGCGTCCACCATGGAAACTGACCAGTAAGCCACTGAGAGGGCAGACACATGCTATAGAGTGACTGTCATCCCCAGGCTTTACTTCCCAGGAATG